CCAAACATTAGTAATCCATACGATTCTCTTTCAGGACTTTTTGACAATTCAATTTTATTTATGACGATAGCTTTGACTGATTACGTGGAGGGTAGTTTTAAAAGGGTAAAAACAATTGCTAAAGATACAAAAAAAAAGTTGAAAGACTGAATATGGTATGCAGGTACCTAGTCAATGTAGTCATGCCACTTGTCGTTTGGTTGTGGAAATATTGCTTTTTAAACTAAATAGCTTCTTGAAACCTGCTTATACTGGAAGATTTATCTTCATGGGTAAAAAAGCATTGAAAGTAAAGACCTGTTCAAGCTATACGAGGGCTGCACTAAAAGTATCGGGAATGGAATATTTCCACTGTTCCAGTCATATTAAAATCTATTTAATTGCAAAGTCCAGGGTTTTAAAAATCGTATACCATTTATTTATTTAAAAAAAGATTCTCGGTCGTATCACAAGGTCTTGTCAAACTTGTTTAGTCGTTGAGAAAATGGAATTGACTCGAGAAAATTCAAGAGCGATGATTTATTATGACTTTTGAACAGGGTTCGAGGATATATATCAAGGGATATATATCAAGATATATATCGGATATATATCCGATATATATCAAGCCGGTTTTAATGATATATATCAACTTTTAAAAATTTTACTGTATTTGTACTTTTTGACATAAGATTTTTATATTTTTTGTAAATTTTGCCGGATTTAAAAGAAATTTTATGTTTTTGCTTTATTTGTCTGATTTTAAGTTTTAAAAACATTAAAAACATGTTAATGCAACACTTACGCAATAGTATTCATGAATAATACAATAAAATAATAGTATGGCTTTCATACAAAATTGATATATATCAAAGTTGATATATATCTGATATATATCATAAATATCCGATATTTTGATATTTATAATAAATATCGGATATTTTCGAACCNTTATTGATCACTGTGGGACGTCCACTGCTGAATATACGCATCCCCCAATGATTTTTACAATACATGGCGATATGGGAATCAATCAAAATCATTGGGTTAGTAATGGCCTGTATCCAGCGCCTTCCTGCTACCTTTATGAGGTCGTCGGTCCACCTTGTGCTTGCTTGTACTTACAGGAATTTTCTGATAATGGCATACCTACGAAGCCTAGGTAAGTATCTTGCTAAGTACGTGTTTGTGCAAAATACAACTGTTACTTTACAGCTACATAAGAATGTAGCAGTATTATACCCTAATATTTTGCAAAAAATATTATATAATGGTACTTTCTTCATCAATAGCTAATTAAGTCGTCGCCGTTTGGTGTAGTGGTTCGAATCGGACTACTATTCCGGAGGTTGCGGGTTCGATTCCCGCACAGTACAAACATTTGTGTGCATGAACATATTTGTTTGTATTGGACTGGGTGTTTTCTATGTATAATATGTATGTATTTACAAAAAAAAAAAAAAAAGTATTTAAGTATGTTTATATCCGTTGTCTAGTACCCATAGTACAAGCTTTGCTTAGTTTGGGGCTAGCGGCGTAGTGTAAAATGTCCAAGGATATTTATTTTTTATTTTTTTTTATTTATTTTAAGTAAGTAGCNAAAATGTCCAAGGATATTTATTTTTTATTTTTTTTTATTTATTTTAAGTAAGTAGCCAGATTCAGTCGGCTCGGACCTTTTTCAAACGCCTGATATACCTAACATAGCAACAACATCGCCCGTGATGATGTCGGATTGCCCAAAATAACCATTAGACTTCAGTCAAAACAAGACATTCACCCATTAGAGGTAAGCCTACCTATTATATTGCTTTCAATCCATAATATGACTATAATAGCAATGCTCAATAATATCTAAAATTTGAGTTAGTAAGATATGGTTAGAGGATGAATGAACCAGTAAGACTTACTTACTTAAGTACCTAAACTGCATATTACGAGTATAGTTATCATGTCATATACAGTGGTATATGACATGATAACTATACAGTTAATTTTTATCTGAATCTACTTGCAAGCAAAATGACCCCTATAATCATCAGACTCGCAAAATTCAGGGCAGGAGGTCAAATGTAGTACGTATCGGCAAATGCAGTAAAGGCATGCTGATAATGTGGTTAATAAGCAAATACCTTACTTTATTTGGTACAGATTCCTTACCATGAATTCTTGGCGCAGAATGACGCAATATGTGAAAGGGCAATTCACTATGTGGGTTTCGTTGGTGATGGTGAGACAGGACTGGTCAGCGTCCACTGATGAAAATGAACACGCATAGCATCTGAAACCACCTGAAAAAATATAACAAATTAGCATAACATTACGGACATTCACACATCTAACGCTTGGATCTAACAGTAAATAAAAATAGGTAAAATCAAAATCAAATCAAAATGATGAAGTAAGTATGCCCCTTCGATATTAGGCTTTTAATTATGTTCACATACCTACCACAAGCTATTATTTTCAGTTATCTAAAGAATACCTAATGGTGCAAAATTAATCTAAAAAGTTATTTTTCTTGTAAAATTAAAGCACCATTACTGAACATGACGTTAACAATTAGTACCTAGTGCACAGTACCTACTTCTCAGGTATTAGGTGCTTGTATGTTCTCATTGTAACCTAAATCCATACTTATTGAACGAGATTCATTCGTATGTGCAATTAATGCAACGTAAAGTTTGTATGATAGAGGCATACTCTAGCTACTTTTTGTACATTATGCAAAGTAACACTCATTTAGATTCCTTAATTATTTGTAACAACTTGTAGGCAGTTTAAAATAATAAGTACTTACATGCTGTTCCTAACATAGCACAGAACACAAAAAACAATAGTTTGAAATACATGTTGATTTTAAAATAATTTCTTTGTGACTGGTCAAAAGAAAATTATGAATTCCCCGTTATCATTACTAACAATAAAACAATTTATAATCAATGTAATGTCGTAGCCAAGTCTTATCTTATCAATTCGGTGAAGTAGGAACGTTCTTTAATAAATCAGTGTAGGGATATTGCTTATTATAAATGCTAATTATAATGACGCTTTATGTGTTATCTTGCAGACCAGATAGCAATTCAATTTTATCTATTTTACTTCCTATTATGGTGCAAGACTCATTGTAAAAGTCTTCCCCAAACCAGGATGGATTCTCCCCTGATTTGGGAAGTGCATAAGTAAGGACTGATGGTTTTTCTTAATGGTTCCGAACGGCTGATCTAAGTACAATAAATGTCTCTTTAATCAAGTGACCCTTAATTTCTATTTCATCAAGGGTTTAATCAGGGGTTTCTTTTAGGACCAGTCCCCTTAGTGATCTTCATTGACAATGTAGGTATTTTCATCATGTTACACGGACGAGAAAATCACTCAACTTAGTTGTCCTCAAGTTGCAATACTTTGCAACGAATTACACAAGGAGTAGAAACAATTTTTCCAACAGCTTATAATGTTACCCTATCTTAGTAATTACTGGTGCAGGAAACGATCGGCTCTACACGAATGGCTAGCGGTGGCCGGTGTTTAACTTAATTGGCATTTCTCTGCGACATCACAAGCCGCGAGATCAAACTGGTTGCAGGTTATTAGGGCTGCAGTCTTTGTAATCTAATCCATCAAGTATGATGCAGGCCAAGAGCTTCCTTGTTGTGGATAAAAAAGGAGTTCAACTGTGGTACTCTACTCTACTAAGTAAATAAGTAATCAATCGCATTGCTGAAAAGTTTTTGTGTAGACGGTGGTCTAGGGAATCTTTTGATTCGGGCGTCCGGTTCGATTCCTAGATTGGTAAACTGAAGATTCACCTTGTTCCCAGTTTGGTTTTTTAAACTTATTGCAGACTTGAATATTATCTTACGTAGCTATATTTAGATACCAATCGAAGTTGGAATGAGGTTGTTGGTGAATTTGTACCTAACTTTTTTTTTCCACTAGGCTCAACAAGCTGCTGTTTATTCCTGAAAATATGTTTCAAATCTCTACTGGTAAGCTATAGGAATTTGTGTAAGCGCAATAATATGAGTCTAGGAAGAAAAATAAGTAGATGGATACTATTTAACAGTGTGCCTGTTGTTTTTTTTCAGGAGATCAAAACTTTAAAGAGGTGGTACCCCTGCCTGCCAGTAATCGCTTCTCACTGATTACCGGTCCAAGTGGGAGTGGGTGCGACAGACTGCATGGCTGCGATTGATCCCACCAGCGACCGGTCTTACAGCTAGTGTTGCTAATGTTGATTTAGCGCTCTCACAGGACGTGTCCCGTCAGTGGCACGAGCGGGACGCCAGAATCCAGTATTTTAAGAAACCATTTTCATTCATTTAAAAAATACTGTACATTTAAATATAATGCAAAAGGCGACCTTACTGCCATATGGAATTTTATTCCAGTTAGCCTTTGGGTCAAACGAAGTAGTAGGTACTTATTCTGTGACCAATCCGAAATAATTGATCGAGTGTTCTCATTGAAGTTTACTTAAGTAGTTAGTTATTTTTAATCAAAGCACTGTTATCACTTTGCCTTTTTCATGTCCCGACTTTGTCGTCCCAATTTTATAAAATCTGATTTGGCAACGCTATCTAAAGCAGTCCTAATACGCAGCGGCAGGTTAATACAGCCACTGCCTACATGCTCGAGTATTTCTTCATTTGGATTTAACATGTACCTACCTAGAGCTGCATTAGGAAGTTGACGGATGCGCATCGTTTCGTCCTCTTAAATGTAAGAAAGATTAAAAAATTGCGAAAGGTACCTATTCATTACAAAATAAATAGGCTTTTCTACATAAGTATTTTAAAGTTGTAGGTCTGGAATGCGAAACCTACCTTAGATTTATAAGGTAGTCTTACTTAGTCTAATTGGATCGACTTTCAATTGTTAATTATGTTTTCTTTTCCTTGATATGTTGTATAAAGAGGATTGAAATAGATAGTTTTCAGCATACTACTACTTTTGATAACTAAGTATTGATATTGATAACCATGCTACTACTGTATAAGAAAAGAAATGATACAAAATCATAAATTTTCTTCAATTTATTTTAAAATTAAGTGGCCATATTATACGTGTGCTAAATACAATTTCCTATGGCGGTATCTTTATGAACACTGATATAAGCCTCACATAACTGACATTCTACTAAGATTATTATATTTATTTGCTCAAGAAGAAGAAACTGCAAAATATCAAAGGACTAGCGTCGCTGACTCTGACGTGGATGCAATTTCTTATGTGCCAGTATCTCTACAAAGAAGAAGAAAAACGCCAATAAAATGCCATAAAGGTACATCAACAGAACGGGGTGGAAATCCACCATGTTGACAGAACCAAAGCTGCCTCCGCGCGCTTGGCAGGGTGGCTTCCGAGCGTAGATCAGACGGTTTTCGCGATCGCTCAGGCCATGCTCTTGGATCCTGAACAATCTGAAATATAAAAAAGATAGTGTAATCTTCATCATCATCATAAGGTCATTTAATCTCCATAACTTTAGTTCTCCTGTTATAGTCACCAGAGCTAAATGGAATATTTCGAGGACTACCCACGTCTTTGGCCAGAGGTATTGAGATACGGGCACTGCGCTGGTTATTACGTACCTAATCAACTGTTACATTTAATTTAAATGTGACACCAGCAATCTACATACTACCATAATGTTTATGTCTTTTCAAAACGATTATAATGGAAATAGAGCTGTTTTATGTAGTCAACAAACCGGAGATTTTACCTATTTCTATTACTCGTACAACTAGTTTTACATTCAAATTAAATGTCTTCCTTAATTAATTTGTTTTGCTGCAAACTGAAATTGTTTTCCGTGAACATTTATCTTCACAAAGAAGTCTAAAAGTGTTTAATAAATATAATGAAATGCATGTAGAAACTAGTTTTATTATAAGTTTATCATGTTGTATAGGTTCAAACTAGAATTCTAGGTCTAGTTAGCTTTGCGTTCTACTAAAAATTATGAACATTCACTTACCCTATTTTAAAGATTTCTTTATAAGGAGAGTTCTTTCGACAAGTGATGTATGTTTTCGTTGCGTACAAATAAGGTATTTCTTGGAGACCACATTTCTCATGTTCATGAAAATATCTTTCCACGAGTCTGTAGCCTATCCCTTTGTTCATGTTGAAAGCGAATGGTTCCTGAAAGATAGAGTTTACAAATTTTAGTTTTATTTTAGGCTATTTTTAGGAAGATCTTATCAAGTAGGTTATATTATGTTCTTCAAGTTGTTTAAAGGTAGGTACATAGTTTAGTTAATGTTCTTACTTACCTTTTGCAATTTCTTGACTCCATCCTCAAGGCTCATAAATTTTGGTTTTGTACCCTTGGGAGCTATCTTAGTTTGGTATATCGCTTTCCTTACTGGTTCAGTAGCAATCTAAAATATTTCAATGTTACATTTATTGCAGGAACCTAATCTCTGGATCCACGAACTATAATATTAATTTATTTATTCCCAAATTTTATACAAAGGAGAAACTAGGCTAAGGTTAACGTTTTCTCTGAAGAGAAAAAATAAGCCACCACCACCGTAGACCGCATCTTACTTTCAGGTGTGATTGCGGTCAAATAACTGCCCTTTGCTCTATAAAAAATATTTACTCACTGTAGGTACCTACTGTAGTTATAACTTTGGTACTCACTGGAAAAAAATACCGGTTATACGGCGTGTCTTCAACACCCAGCTCTAGCTTAGAGTTCAGCAAATCGGAGAGCGTCCTTATTTGGTTGGAGCTGGACTGCAGCAGCGCTACTATACTGGCAGAGTAAGAAGAGTAAAGCAGCAGAAAAGCAAGGAACAAAATGAACATAACAATGCGGCCAAGAGTTCCTGAAATGAAATACCTTATCACGCTCATGCCTATTTTCAAATTAAGCTTACAATGCTAATGTATTTAATATTCTCACTTGAGCAATACTGAGCAGTGAGCATTCACCTACAAAAAAACATTTTGCCAAGACCATAATGGTTCGTATTGTAAAGAAGTTATCAGATCTCATGTAGAGCCAAGCTTCTAACTCTTTACACGCCAAGGCTGGGTTGCACCATCTTACTTTAACTTTAACAAACGTCAAAAATCTGTCAAAAAAGCACTGGTTACCGTTTTAGATAACGTTAAAGTTAGTGGTGCAACTCAGCCTAACTCTACAAGCCCTAACTAATAATAACTCTACACCTTAGTGAAATATGTAGCACAGTCACATTACAGACGTACTCGTACCTTTTAGTTCTGTAGAGCTTCCTTGCTGAGATATAGCGCTGATCACTAATATTGCTATATCACCAACATTGGGTCTCAAAACTGTTGGGTCTTCGAAATTCTAGAATAAATAGGTACATGAAATTTTGTTATAATATCGCAAAACTAAGCAAATTAAAAGGAACATCCATACCTGTTCACTTGATTCCAACTTCTTGTTCTCCCACAAAGCGTTGATGTAAAGGATAAAAGCCAATACCAAGACAAAAGCACCAATGCAGTACCACACAGTACTTTTGAAAGGCAATAGGAACAGATTGTTCTGGTAGGACAAGGGAGGCTGGCGGAATACAAACTTTATCGATATAGGGGTAGGACAGGATAGGTATTCTACCACTTCCATGCGGTCTTGAGTAGCTATTAGCACCGTTCCTGGTCAAAAACAAGTCATTGAAAGCTAGCAGATAAATGTGTCATCTTAATGGTAATTAATATTTACCAGTGTGGTAGACTTTATTTGGAACGAGAAATGACGGGAATCATCATTAAGATTATTTCAACAACAAAGATCAAGAAAAATCTTAATCAAGACGCCTCTACATCATTCAAAAGATATAACTCATCTTGTTTTAATCTGAGACTGCTGCATATAAAATTATAAATAATTATACTTCTGCTTGTTTACCTACCTGCTAGTTCAGCATCGCCAATGGTCATATCGGCAATCATTCCACCATAGCTCCCGTTTCTGTAGTAGCCCCAAGTAGGGCTGTAGATCAATGTTCTAGAAGCATTCAGGTATCCAAATATAGGGTCTGTTTGACGAAAGCTACTCTTGGATACTGTATCAGTTAGGATATCACTGAAAGAAGAAGAAGGAAATTGTAACATTTTGTATGTAAGTATTTCAAAGATCTCTCTCTACTTCAGATCATCATCAACATCAGGCTTTATCCATTTACTGGTGTTTCTTAGGCATTCCCATACACAAGTACCTATGGGATTCTTATATTTACCTTAGATCGTAAGGGTTAGATATTGTTCTATTATCCAGAATCACCATAGCCATCTTAATAGGTGCCCTTTGAAAGTTCTTTCTTCTTGTTGATATAGGGTCTTTAACAGTTTCAAATTTCTTAAGCCCATTATCAGATGTCCATATACCAAACTGTTCAACTATCCATTTACCTTTAATTTGTATCTTGTAAACTAAAACATAAAGGATGTTGTAAAGTACCTAGTACATACGGTATCAACAAAGAGAATGAGTTAACTGTACGAGTTTGTACGATAAAATTGAGTTAGCTGTAAGAATTTGTGTAATTTAAAGCTCACTGACTTACTCGTAGTTAGTATATAAGAGTTGTTGTCATTCCTTTGTGCAATAATAACATCAGAGTCCGGTAGCAGAGGTATGTCGTGAAAATCAGAAGTGACAGCCATGCTCTCATTTACAGCTTTTCCAATCACAATCCAGCGGTATGGAAAGCTGAACTTTTTTGTAGCATTTGCCTGAACAGGAACATCAACAGGAAATGACATGAATGAGAAAATACAGTTTAATACTCTCTATAGATAATGCTGTAAAAAAATTAGAGTTAACTTGAAAGTGCTGGTCAACTTTCTCAAATTCGATAACATTAGTAATTTTGTAATTACCTCCGGAAACTCTCAAAATGATTTAAAGCTAACTCTTAATCTGTAACTCTTTTTTAGTACCTGGATTTTGTTATACAGGTACCTATGCTTAGTTTCATACTAGTACCAAATAGAGTCGGTCTATGCTTCCAGAAGTTGGAGATGACGCAGAATTATATAGGTACAAAGAAGCTGTGGATACTTACCAACTTGAAGAAAACTTTTGTAGTAGGGCAGTTCAGATCAGCTACTATCAGCAGGCGTTCCCTGTGGTTAGGTTCCACTATACCTGCCCAGTTCTTATTCACGAAGCGTACTGTCATTGGTCTGGTCTTGTTGCCCAATCGAGACGCTAATTGAATTTGTTTAGCTGAAATTGCATTTAATTACACAGGCTCCTATTTAGCTTTTGCTAAGCATAGTAAAGGTAACACAGTGAATCAAATTACACCGTAACTGATCTCCTATTAGCAGAATCCAGTTTGAACCAGTATTAACCAGTTCGTTAAGTTGTACTTACATGGTTTCCAACAGGCATGAGCTACCACTGAAGTTAATTTATCAGAAGATATGATCAAATCCGTAATCATACTAATTTCATTGCTAGATTTGGTAAAAGTACAAACAAAATAAACCATAATAAAAACCAGTAATAAATCACGGAGATTCATCTCAATTCTTTATTGGATAATTCAAGTGCGAACCAAACGTTATGCGGTGGTGAAACACAGCATTTAAATTCAGGTTTAATTGTTGTCATACGTCTATTTGCTAATGTGTCTAACTAGGTAGCTACTAATTACTGGTTACAGTAGAGCTTGTGCATAATTATACGATACATATGCTCTAAGTGGCATGGTGTTTTCTCGCTAATCACATGGGTGGGTTCCTTTAATTGCACCAGACAGCGAAACGTTATACATTTTTAAATAACACACGTATGCAATGCTTTATTTAGAAGCAACTACAGACCAACAACAAAATATTGTATCTCTACATTGAATGTCTATTAGAATGTTTTAATTTGTGAATTATCGTTTCTCTTTTATGATAAAGAAATTCAAAGATCAAAAGAGTTAAAGACACGAGACTCCCGTAAGACAATATTAACAACGCCGGGTAGCAGTCAACCATGCTGACTGAAACGAAATTGGATTCTCTGCCGGAGCATTTAGGTCGCTTTTCGTATAGCAACCGGTTCTCCCTGGCTTGAAGACCATGTTCTTGGATGCGTTTCATTCTGGAGTGATAAAACAAAAGAAATTCATTACTCAATGGCGCCATACAACGATCAGTAACTCAGTACATTGTACACTGTACAAAGCGAATGCAGTAATGGCCATCACAGTTGCCGATTTGTTTGTACATTTCTGTAGTTAGATCAAGAGATCCATAAAACTCAGTCAATGGGATTCGGAGTGTAAAAAAAGTCATCCAAAATTGGTAGAGACAATTTGTTGTGTCTATATCTTGTGGCTTATCTGAAGATCCACTGTTGGACAAAGGCCTACTACCCCAAGAATTTCTACAACGAACATCCTGCGCTGCCCGCATCCAGGTACCTACTTTAAGCGACCTTCACCAGATTGTCGGTCCACCTGGTGGGAATCGATATTTGTTTAGACTAATAATAGTACTTACAAAATTGTCAAATATTTTGCTCATACATGTCTCATAATCTTTTTATTTTACCCTACCAGCAGCGCTTCGAGACCATCATTTTGGCAAGTGCTGAGAAGAAGCGATGCAACAAACTCAAGTCACCACTGTCTGCCGGTTAATAGAAATAGTAGGTACATTTTATGATTCAGGAACAGTTCACTGAATTTGCCACGCATTCTTGTATGGTGTATCTTATAAGAATGGGTATACAAAATTGCGTTGCGATTATTCTGACCTACTGGGATTAAAAGAAAAAGCTCACCCGATCTTAAACATCTCCCTATAAGGTGTGTTCTTCCTGACCGCCAGCCACGGATCGATCACTTGGAGGTACTGTATCTCACGCAGTCCGCATTTTTCGCCTTCGTTAAAATATTTTCCCACAAACTTGTAACCGACTCCAGTTTCCATGTGAAACGCGAATAATCCCTGAGAAATAAAAATAGTTTTATTTATTTGTTTATTTATACTTCAATGCCAACATTTTAACATTAGGCGAACTTAATGCCTTAATGCAAATTGGTTACCATTCCTGAACTCGAAACCAAATCTCTTTAGGGACACATTGGCTAAATCTTGGTTCGACGGTTCATCAGCTGTTTAATGTAGGTATAGATCTTAATTTAAAAATAACTCTCTCATGTAAGCGAATTGGCTTTTGTTGTAAATTGTATTGCTACACATATGCGAAAACATGTAAATGGTGTATAGTTTCTTAAGCAGTGGTTAATCTATTATTGTTTCACTGTATGTTTTCCAAACAAAATAAAATAAAATAATAAAATAAATAAGGCATTCTCATCCAGTTTACCTTCGGGTTATTTACGATCAATGGGTCCACGGCACGGTAGGCACTAAAAATCTTTAATTTTTAGTGCCTACTCACATGTAGGAAAATAGTAGGTATGTTTTTGTTTATAATTGCCGATAGATCTAAATCGTATCTGCGCTTACGCATGTTCAGAAATGATTTATTACCTTTCTCATTTTCTTCACGCCTTCCTCCATGGACATAAATCGAGAGGTAGTGCCGGGCGGAGCAACTTTCTTCTCATAGATAGCCTTTCTGACGGGCTCTGTTGCCGTCTAAGCAAATTGTAGATTGGATTAAGATTACACTTCGATAGTTACAATTAATTAAGCGAAGGTATCTATTTAAATAAGAAGAGAAACTAACTTTAATAGACATAAACGCAGCGACAAAATTACGGTAGGATAACATGTGAAGTCAATTAAATACATCTTGACAAGATGGTTTCTAATAAAATAGAAAAGGAGTGTTTACTAGCTCGTTAATTTAATATAGATCAAACTAAAACAACATTCATAATCACACTGTCACCTGCATAAATCCCGATGATGAAGGAACCTGATTAAAAGTAAGACGTACAATTTGCAGCACCCTTATTACGCTGTGATAAGATTTACACAAAGTCTTTTTTCTGACAAAATCAGGCTCTGAATCTGAATCTAAATCTTACTCATGAAATTTTCTTTTATAATGCGAACAGCTAGGGACTGGAATTCGCTGCCTGCTGCTGTATTTCCCGAACACTATAATCCGGGCCTTTTTAAGGCGAGAGTGAATAGGCACTTACAGGGCAGATATTATAATGTACCATCGTAGACTGCATCTTATTTTGTGATCTCACTTAACACCAGGTGCGAGTGCGGTCAAATACCTGCCTTGTTATCAAAAAAAAAATACTGAGCATGTGACTTACTTAAGGGACTTTACCACGCAGTTCCATTTCAAACTAAGCTTTTTTCCTCCTAAATCAAATCTTCCATAATGATCCATCCGACCGATTTCGGCCATGGCGACCACTCCGACTCCTAGCTGTCTTGGCGGCGCTGGTGTGCCCGAAGATGGCTTACGTAGCCTATTTTCGCGGTAAAATCCCTCGCGCATTGAGGGCATCTGAGCACGCCGCCAACATAGTTATAGTGAATGGCGGCAGATGGACGGGCCTTCAAGTCATCGCGCTTCGCGTCGAGTTCAGTCGTACGCTGCACCTCGAACTCGTGGACTTGCCTTTTCACAATCTCCCGCCATTCTGGACGCTGTGCTGCCAAACCTTCCCACTGAGAGGGCTCAATGTTGCATCTTTTCATGTGCCGCTTCTGTACATCTTTGTACCTGAGGAGTTGACCGCCATGTTTCCGCTTACCCTCCTCAAGTTCAGAGTAGAAGATGCGCTTCGCCACTCTCTCCTCCGTCATACGTGATACGTGACCACACCATCGAAGTTGGCGACGCATTATATAGGCCTCAATGCAACACTAGCCTTTGGTAAATTCTTCCTACAGTGGAGACTAAAATAATGATGTTGAAGACGCCACAATGTACTTTGATGTGCTATCGTTCATATGATAACTTACCGAAAAATAATATCTATTGAACACGGTATCATGGACGCCGAATTTCAGTCTGGAATGCAGGAGGTCATCTAGTGTCCTGATCTGCGAAGAACTGGACTGCAGCAGCGCGACGATGTTGGCTGAATATGAAGTGTAGAGGAACATCAGAGCCAGGAAAAGGATAAGCATCACCACGCGGCCTAATGATCCTAAAATGAACAGACTAGTGTCGACCAAAAATATCTGTACCTACTGATCCAGCTCAAAATTAAATTCTTTTGACAAGTGCCTTATACTAAATTAGATAAATGGCAGAAGAATACTTATTATAACAATGCTATATTATTGATTGATTACTGAAAAGAAGAACTCCATACCAGCTGGTCTAGGATGCGCACCGTGACAAAATTTTATCGATGATTTTAGATGACAAATGTATGGGCTTATCACTTTAGATCGATAAAATGGCTCGATAAATGCTTATCGTGGCGCTCGTCCTAGGCCTACAGGTAAATATAGGGACATCACAAGCATAAAAACCAAGATTTTAATTAGCCAATATTAATGCCATACACGTCCACATGTGACCCGTGACGGACGGACGTGATTTTTTTAGTTTTCCTTAATTTTCATAAATTACCTTTTAGTTCTACGGGGCTTCCTTGTTGGCAGATGGCACCAAATATCAGAATTATTACGTCGACGAAGTTAGCCCTCAGAATACCGGAATCTTGTTTCCTCTGACAAAGATAATAGGAAAATGTCTTAATAATAGTTAATTAGGTGTAATTTTTATCGTTTCAATTCCTTCCGATGGTTACTTAGATGAGGATGATCAACTTGTTAGGCTTACAATGTATTATTGTGAGATACAATGATTAAAACGTCTAGATATAAAATGTGGTTTTAAAAACTGTCTAGCTCACACCAGTATATTTTGTAAACTAAGGCATAGCAAAAGGGGTTGATTTTCCTCACTAGTAACTGATCCAAGTTGTAATAATAATACCTATTAATATTTCCGATAGTTCTCTAATAAATTTTATTTGGAGGTATGAGGTATGAATACATAAGATAGATATTCTCAAACAATTTTCACTGAGATTTGAATTGGTATAGGTATTCTTCTTTGTAATTATTATACACATAGTAAGGCTAAACAAGCTTGACTCTTATTTAAACTTACGTAAATATGGTGCGAATTTTTCTTCCACTCCCATACAGCCACAGCAAAAAGTGCCAACAGTAATAAGAAAATCAACCCAGTGCTGCTGTACCATACAGATGTACGAAAAGACAGCAAAAAAAGGTTGTTCTCATAGGACAACTTGGGCTGTTGAAATACGAACTTCGAACGAGTGGGAGTTGGGCTAGCTATGTAGTCTACCACCGATATCCTTTCTGAAGTGAAGAACATGGGTGAACCTGGAAAATTGAGGCACGAAAAGTCATTGAAGATGAATCCTTAGGTATACATTATTTTAATATTTTTTAAGAATAACAGCCAGAACAGAGCTGACTAGCTTTATTGTCAAGATATTATTTTCAATATATATTTTTTTCAGGAGATTTAACTGTTTTACATATTTTCAAGAATTTTGGAAATCAAATAAAGAATTGGCTGGATGTTTTCGTTTACAATAATTCCGTTACAAAATCTTTCTAAAACTGCAGATTTTTTTAACTCTGATTTAATTAAAATTTTGCAGTGCTGGAGAATATTACAATGAATACTACCTGTTGTTACTCTACACTCTCACTAAAGAACTAAGTTCTACCTCCAATCTCAACCTCCTCCCTCAAGAGGTACCCAGTCATTCCGTTCCACGACCCATTGACTCGGTAGCCCCAAGTCTCAGCGAAGATGTACTTCCTAGAGGCGTTCAAGAAATCCAGCAGGTGATTCGTTGTCGGGAAATTCACTTTTGTGATGGTGTCTATGTGGTCGTTACTGGAAATGACGTTGTAAAATAAAATTGGGATTTTTCATTTGATTTACATTTCAAAGCAAAGAAGCAGTGAAACCATTCCTTGGTCTAGTGGTTAGTGATTTTGACTCTCTTGATCTGGAGATCCTAAGTTTGATGCCCAGATGGGACACACAAATTGAAAAATGTAATTGGTCTCATAACGAATACGAGTACGATGATTTTGCCACTGTAGCCTCATTTTGTCAACTCATACACGATAGTAGAGCTAGAGACATCCATATTATTATGCCTTTGGCTACGCTACGGCAAAACGTAACGATAATTTAAAAATCTGAATTCCCGGCAGTAATTTTTGCAGGCATTTTTTTTACATTTATCGTCCTAATTACTTTCGACAACTCACACTTCATCAGTCAGATGGTTAATGCTGTCGTTGTCGGTCAGAACATAGCAAATGCTCATCTCGAAACCAAGCAAGTCCAACCTCTGTAGAGCCGTCGATTCAACCAATTGCTGATTGGTTTTGACAAACCGCTGTTCAAGGTTCCAACTCCCATAGAATTGAGTGCGCCAGTCACTGTTAGGACTTATTTTGTAAACTAAAACATAAAGTATAGGTTTGTTTAGGTCATAACAACAATATTAGTAAGTAATTCATTAATTAACTCTATCAATTTATAGAGTTTCTGACTCCGATACACAAAAAATGATTATCTAAACACAAATACATATGTTTTAGTGCTATAGCTAGAATATTGAGCCTTTGGAGTGACATCAAAAGTACTATTCACAACAAGAGAACTACAGAATTTAATTATTGATTCATTGATCATTAGCCCATGTTAGTTAACTACTTACTACGCAACGTTGCAGAGCGCACGTAACATATTTGCCCTATCTTACTAACACAACATTTCATCTAGCAACTTACTGAAATGAAGATCGTAAGTGTCAGCCTCTATTTGCCGTAGCACAATCACTTCCGAATCAGGCAAGAGATCAATATAAGCTATTTCATTCGGTACTATTTCATCATTTTCACTGGAACTGATTAGGATCCAGCGGAATGGTGATCTGAAATATTGTTCTTCTTTTTTCTGCAAATTACAATTAAAATAATAAATCGTAAAAACTATCATGTAACTAAACATACATCTTTGAGGTTGCGGTTGTGAAAACCACAACGTATTTATAGACATTGAAAAAAGTCAATAGATACAGCTCATTAGGTAATCAAGAGCGATTTTTTTAAATAATGTAGAGTTGTAGCACCTTATCAAAATAAGCTGAAATATTGGGACACTTGAGATCTGCCACGAACAACATGTGTTGGTCTTGACCATAATCTTTCTTTGCGTGTTTCATATCATCAAAACGAGCTGTAGCAGCACGAGAACGGTCGATAGAAGTAACTGCATTATAAAAATCGACCTTTTTATCTGTAAAAATGCAACAATCGAATACAACCGAAGTATTACGCTCGGCAGCCTTGTATTAAAGTTCTTTATTGTGTCGTTGAAGCAATTTAATAAACTAATTGTCTACAGGAACATTTCTAAATTTAGCTGTTTTTTTCTTACTAGTTTGCCAACAAAGCGTGGCCACTACGGTTGAGGGCTTTTCCATAGCGCGAATGACGTCAGACAAGACGAGCACTTCTGAATCTGTTTTTGCATTACAGACAATAATATTAAAAAAATAAAAACTGGCCACAAAAATACAAAACCTCATGGTGGACGGTATAGTTAAAGAATGGAAATTTACTTTGCAAGAACGAAATCGCGAATTCAAACTTTGTTTGCTCAAAAAAGGTCGTGCCTACAGCAATTTAGGCGTTTCGAACAAATAGCTCTCATACATTTTTGAACATGTCTACAAAAGAAATTGCTTTGACTATCGTTGAATCTCTACCTTTTTTTTCTACTTCAAGATAGATCTACGCCAATCCTGTGGATTAATCATAATAAGTTTCGATCTTTGTAAGAAAAAAGGTTTTTTAGATCATTAATGATAAGGCTATTATTAACATAACGAAATCCACGAAGCGAAGCTGCGAGTTTTTAGCAGCTTTTTTAAGTATGTGTATGTAGGTAATTCATTTGCAGTTATTTTATAAATCAAAGTTCATGTAGATAGGTAATAAGATCATTTCCTGAATCATATAGCAAACAAATAACTGAAGATAACTAGGGCAATTCTTGCCTTTTACGCAAAAATCAATAACCTACTTTTAAACTGTTACTAATTGACATTTGTAAGGATTCCCAGTTCTTTCGTCGTACAGTAGATACGTATCAATTGTAGTGTTTTGGTTGTGAAGCAAGCAGTATTATCGCGTTTGTTGACAACCGATAATGTTCAGTGCTAAGTATTTTTCCGCTAGTAAATAAAGGTTAAGGCTTACGGCCGTTACGGATGTAGGACATAGCTGGGAGATTCTAGTATTTTTCCAAATTAGAATTAGAATTTTGACATGAGGCGTCCTATGTTTCTGTCACTTTTGACAAAATTTTAAATTTCGTCAGATTATAATCTGTTGTTTACAATCTCACGTTTTATATTATAAACTGACGGAGTTATAATTTCACGTTGGCATCTACAGTTTGGTCCATGCTAGGAGTAAAAAAGCAATTAACAGTAAATTATGTAAATAATTAGGTAGGTAGGTACTGATGGAATTAGAGTACAGTCGATAGCACAACAACAGATAAGATGCTTTCTTGATATGCTGTCGTCTGTACCTATCCATATTTCTTTAGTGACATTATTGTTTGTTTTTAAGGTGAAATGAATCACTATTTCTTGTTGATTTACAAACTATCACGTTAACCGGATTTATCCAAAAAATATCTTATTACAACGTACTCGTAAATGCAGTTGTTTGCTTGAGAATTACCCAATTAATTATTGCTAGCATTTTATCAGTAAACACACAATTAATTTCATAAGTATAACTTCTCGGTCAGTCGCGAGTGCGGTTGGTGATACGGTGCCGTGGAATGTCTGCATATAAAAACATTAAAATTAAATACAAGACATCTTTGATTATAAAAATATATTATAGAAAGAAACCAAAATGAATGTGCTGCAAAAGGTTTTGGCGGGAAAATCTATACTTAATGTAGTGCAGAAGACGGAGGCGGATCCTGTTGCTGAATGGACACCCCTGTTGAGAGAACAAAACGATGGAAGTTTTTCAAGAAGAGGTAAGTTTTAAGTCTCTAAAATACCTCTTATATTTATTTATACCCGTAGGATTTAAACTTCTTAAACGTCATTTTTTATTCACACGAATCTCATTTCGAACATTAGATAGAAAAAAACTATAATTTAATGAATAACAAACTACATCAGATCTCTAGTAAGTTTAATAAGGTAGAGCGCACTTTAATACTAAAGATTTTAAGCGAAAAGTACAGTTATTTATGTTTTCAGAAAATAGTATCCTAATAACTTACATATGAAACAATGTGCTTTATTTATTAAGTATAATTTTATTTATATAAGTATAGGTATTTCGAAAAAATCATCACACATCGAAAATAAACTCAAATAAACAAAAGTATCATGTATTGCGAGTTTATGTAAGTATGTAGGTAATCATTCGTAACAACAAATAGTTTTTGTAAATAAATCTGTTATCATACCACTGATAACGATGCGCCACGCGATGTGCGTTAAAGATAGCTAAATAATGATTCAAGGTAAATTTTCAGGTGTATGATACTTAAGTTATGGGGTCAAGTGCACAGATGACACAGGTCGTTGTTCTTACGGCATATGGCTGAGCAAAACCATAGCTGAGCCACACGGAATTTTTTTTTGTTCTAAATGGACTTCGTCTGGACTGACCTATTTTTTACATACTATTAAAAAAAGTTCGAGTATTTGATCACTGAGCCAAGCCTTATTTTTGGCAAATGCAAATATTTGCAAAACAAAGGTTTAAAGATTCTTTATTTCTCAATAAAAACATAATTGTCACTTACTTGAGAACAAAATTAAACTAAGTATAATTTACATTTGAATCGTTCGCACCGATATGTTTTATAAAAAGCATTGGCTTTAGCAAATTATACATGAAACATAAAATTCCGCATTTTACTTGTTTTTTTTTATGTATTTGTTATTGTAGTTGTTTGTCTCATGAATCACAAATTATGTACTTTTGGTAAGTAAACAGATGACCTAACGGTAGATGTGCTTATTATCTACCTAAGGGAAAGTTACAAATAATGTAAAATATCGACTATAGTTCGTATTAAGTATTAAGAAATGACGAGCCTTGATTAGCGGGTTTGGAGTATACCAATCGTAAGGTTGATTTTGAGTGTTTCATATGCGAATAATCGAATAACCGATTTACAAAATCGAGTAATAAAGTGCACTGAACTGAAGGAATTTAAATTAAACATTAGCTAGCAATGACAGCCCGCATGACATTAATTAGATTTAGGTAATATAAAAATGTTAATTTAACCGCTAATCACATCGTAACCAATAATCTTATTGACACAGTAACCCAGTTTAACCATTTGCAAATGAAGCATAATTCAACATTTTCTGCGACTACTAAATAAGCAATTTACCTTGAACTAAAGTTAAAGCCCTTCGTATTAAGCAAGTAAAATACTGAGGTAAAATATGTAAACATTGTGCGATAACATATACACAAGTGACAGTATTAACGATGAGAGAAGTGTGCCAAGCGCAAAAGTTCCATCGCAAACGAATGCAGGCTTCATTTAAGGCGAAGACATCAATCACTGAAGAAATAAAAGGATTAATGAGAGAAAACAGTTAAAATAATCGATGTATCTGTTACAATCAAAACTCATAATCGGTAAAAACTACTTTTGGCTATAAAATCAGTCAAAAGTTATTTTAACTGATTTACATGGTCAAAACCACTTTTGACTGAATTTTACAGTCAAAAATAGTTTTTTTGACCGATTATAAAATGAGTTTTGACTGGAACATATTCATCAAAATGTATTATAAAATTACCAAAAACTTTCTATAAAGTCATATTTCAGTCACCTGACCATTTACCAAATAAAAAAAAACAAGTATCCACAGTAATTTAATTACATCTGTGTAGTTTTTATGTTGGATAGGTAATTTCAGAAAATTACAGTTAAAGTTTTGTTTTCCTTTACATTAGCATAATAGATAAACATAGTACAAAATTAATAGGAATATTTTAATTAAATCTGAAAGATCTTAGCCTTAACTAACAGATAAGAGGGTGCACTTTCCATGTAGGGTCGGGTCATCGGAGGATTTTTATTTGTTACTCGAATGTTACAATGTAAGGAATTAGGTAAGCTGGCTGGAATTTATGTAGGTAGTTATAGTTTTCAATAAAATATGAAGAAAAAAACGGTTTTAAAGTAAAAATGCAAGTGACAGTCAGATTTTAAGAAACTTGACCAAATTGACCAAGTCTGTAGAGTTAGTAACATACATACACGTCTCGGTTCAAAAACTCGTTCATTGTCACACGTTGTGAGATCCTGTGTAGATAGAACCACGTCGTCGACCTACGTATAATTTTACAAAGCTAATATGGCATCTAAAATAGCAGGATGTTTTAGAATTTCCCTTTTAGAACCTTAAAGAGTTTTGATGTTCGGTGACTGAGTAGTGGTACTGCATAAAAGCATTACTTCAATGAGGAAGCATTTAATTCAGCACTTAATCGATTAAACTTTATTTATTTTTATTATGTTCAACACTGAATTAATAATGGTAATGCTTGTTCTTAATTACATTCTACACGGCGATATAGATGTTGAATGCATGAAATTAATTAATTGACATCGCAAAGAATGTTGTTAATAAGCAAGTCGTTTTCAAATAGCTATTAATATATCTATTATGTTTATTCGATTCACAACATTTGTTTCAAACTAGCCAATATTTCAGAAATCTTAGTGTAAAAGGATTAAAACAAATTAGAAAGATGTCTATTATATTAATCGATAGTTCATTCAAATAATATTTTCCATCTTTCTACAATAGTCGGTCTTTGGCTGTTCCTTAGTATTAGATAGTGATAACATCTCTACATTTTTATCATTATGTTAAAAGGTTTTTAGCGTTGAAGAAGAAAAAGTAAAAAAGAAGTAGAACTTGGGATACCATCATTATCTGGAACGTAATAAATATTACATGAAAAATCTTGAAAATAACGCACGGAAATAGTCTCGCTTGAACAAACAAAAAAATATAATAAAACAATTTTTTCCCAAGCGATCTCACCGTGGCGAGGGACGGCACAATTTAATTTTAGAATGAGGAAATAAGTTTTTCCGCCGGCGCCAACAGTCGCCACCGGAGTACCGGATACCTAGTTGGTTACTAAACTGTGCGCTAACCTTGACACTTTCGCCAGGTTTTCAATCGATTTGATTTTCAATTACTAGACTATTATGACGTGTTCAATTTACAAATAACTACCTAGATATATTTCATACATTTTTTCTTTTAGAAATTTTCTTAATCCCGCTTTAAATCAAAATCTTATAAAAAATCAAATTCTTATAAAAGCGAAAGTTCACTGACTCACTCATCACGAAATCTTAGAAATTACAAGTGCTAGGAGTCTCAAATTTTGAACGTAGGCGCTGAAGACGGGATTGGGGTAAAACAGGATCCACGTGTACGAAGTCGCGGTCGGCCGCTAGTATAGTGATAAAGGGGAAAACTGCTACTTATGGTATAGTGTT